AAGTGCTGGAGAAGGAGGCGGCCGTAAGCAACCCTGACACAATGCAATGAACTTTAAACCCCACACAAATGTTTGACTTGGCCAAATGTTTACCCATGTCAAAGCCAAACGAAACCAAAACAACAAAATATTATTCATTATGAAAATGTCCGAAAAGGGAAAACTACTACTGCATGTATGCGAACATTGTTACCAGAGGGAGAGAGCAAAGTAAGGACGAAAATAAAAAGGGAAATCCTTCAGTAAACTTCTAAATAAACGTGAACTTTGCCAAGAGAATAAAATAAATTGACGAAATTTCCGGCTAGCAATAAATTTACGCTTTGAAAATGAATAAAATACCAAAGGAAAACTTAAGCCCATGAAAAGTAGGCGATTTCAAATAGTTAAAGTATAATCCAATTTGAATGTATTAATTTAAAATTTAAACTTTCTTGTTTAATAATATAATAGAGGAAAAACTTAGATAAAATTATTATCATGCCTATGACTTTTTTTGTAGTAAGTAATATTAGTAATTAATGGTTCTTGAAAAAGCATAAAATAATAAGAAAAATAACACTTACAAAAATTAAAAACTACAAGTAATTTAAGCTAAGTAGAGCTGGAGAGCTTTTTAAAGTCTCCGAGGGAAATCTACCACAAATTAAAAAGCACTTTTACTAAGGCCATTGCGCTACTGCGAAACAACGAAACAATTATGTTTATGCAAACCAGCTTTTTGTTCTCACAAAAGCACATCCATTCGACCATTTTCAATGAGGCTTTTTTTTTTTTTTTTTTTTTAAGTCAGGCGGGGAAAACGTATCGGAAAATTCGCTGTCAAAACCACAACAAAGCAAATCTTTGATAACATAAACTCAATTAACACACACGTAGGCGCCAGCACACCACCACACACACACAAATTCACACATACATTCGAGTATAGGCGCACCAACATTGACATGTATTAAAATGCCTTTTTGCATGTCCTGTGACAGGCAGCAAAAATTAACCGAAGCAACGTTGCGGCTCGGCTCCTTAAATGTGAATGTGAATTAGTTGTGTGTGTGTGTGTGTGAGTGGGTATCTGTGTGAGGTTGGTGGCAAGTGTAAGTGTAGGCAATTAATGCTGGCATTGTTGTTGGCACAATATTTCACCTGCTTGGCGTGCAGTCGCCAAATGGGAATTCAACCGAAAGAGAGCTTCCCTAAAAAATGCGATCCCTACATAATGGGAAAATAACTACATTATTACTTAATAATCAAAAGATAATTATTTATTTTACCTGACAATACTACCTAAATAATATATTAATGTTTAATAACCAAGTCAACTTGATCAAACCTACCTTTAAAAACTCTAAATATTTACATCTATACAATATAAATTCATAGACACATAGTTAAAGGAATATGTCCTTGCAAAGCTGAGAAACTAGCTTTTAATTCACATGTTTCGTTATTTGGCAACCCAATCGAATCGAATCGCTCAAGGAAAATGGCAAATTATTGGCTCCTTTTTGACTTTGACTTGTTTCAAATTTTTACCAACACATATGAACGCACACACACACACACCTAAAGGGGTATAATGTTACACACACTGTTGCAGTTGAGTAAACAAAAGTCAAAACATTTTTGGGGCACAACATTTTTGAGCTTGGTATTCCCAGTTTTGTGTGTTGCCTGCATTCCTCTTGCCGCTTTCTTTCCCCTTTTCCCTTCGCCACTTTTGCACTGTTTTACTTTCTCAGCTTTCTCCCCCACTCACACACACACACACACAAACAGCAGACAAACACACACGCAGGAACACTCACACACACAGGCAGTCAAACACAGCCATCGTGCAATATCCTTTTTGCAGCAGTCACAATCAAATGGCCGGATAGAGAGATTGCATCTCTTGTGGCACAGAAATTGCGCATACGCAATGTTGTCACTGGCATTTTTCCGCAAAGATAGCTATCAGCAAACCATAGTATACATTTATGCCTTTCAATTGTTCATGATGAGCACAAACACACTCGCTCGTGCAATAAAATATTTCCGAAATCAACGCCAGCGGAGAAATTTACTCGCGTAGGCGTTTCGAACATCTCCAAAAGGTAAACAAGCCAAACGCAGGGGAACAGAATAAAAGTCGCACCACTGCTCACCCTGTATTAAGAAAAAATAGTTTATTATTTTTTTTTTTTTAGAAGAAAGGGATTAAGGAAAGTTTATAATTTTCTAATAATTCAATAAAAATGTATAAAATTGTGTACAAAAAACACTACAAAACAAAGACTTCTAACAAGTGAAAATGTTCTTAAAAAAGTAATAAATAATTGTAATAACAAACGTAATCTATGGGGAATGCATTTAAACCGGATTTGAAATAATTTGTAATAGTGTTTGCCATAAAAAGGCCAGCTTTATGGCCCTGCCCATATTCCTCTGTTATTATCATCTGTCATTTACAGCGCATAAAGACAAACAAAAGTAAGAATCACGGGAATGGGAATGGCGATGGGGATGGGGATGGGGAGCCGGAGAGGAGGTGACTCAAAAACCGAAACCAAAATGCAAAACGTGACTTTTCCGGGACCCGTCGACTGAGGCGCTAACTGCCAGACTTGCTGACTACGGCGGACTGACTTTCGGACGGACGGACAGCCAGTTTTGTAAATTTGTTTGCCTTTCCTCGCCCGGTCTTGGCAATTATTAGCGGGGCAAGTCAACAAGCCGCACACCGCGCAAAAAAAAAAAAAAAAAAAAAAAAATGGGGAGGGGCATCCCCATTTCCAGACCAAAAACCCCATTTCATATCAATAAGCGAGCGAATGGAGGAAATTCCCAATTGGCTGATTTTGGTTTGGAAGATAGCAACCGAAAAAACAAATGAGTTTTACATTTTCGATCCATATAATGATAAAAATTATGGGTTTATATAAGAATTTATAAAAAGAATATTTAATCTTTAAAAATGAATAATTACTTTATTTGTTTAATAACATAAACAACACAAATGCCGAAACGTTTAATGACCATTTTTTTTTAGACTCGAAAGAAGTTAATTAAAATAAATTGGAGCGTTATTTTTAAAATATTTTTCCATTCTGTCTGCGAAAGCTGAAACACTGCGGGTTGTTGGGAAATTTATGGACTGCGGTTCAAGGATTCGGAAGCGGATTCAGTTCGAGTTCTCCGGTTTCATCTGCAGCTTCTGTTCCGTGCATATTTATTTATTTATTTATTTGCTTGCCACCGCTCCTCTCCGCCGGCATATGTATTTGGTTAATTGAAATTGATTTCTCGCTTTCTGTGTTACCAACACCTGAAACCCCGGGAGATTCTCGACTCTCTCGTTTTTTCTCTTATAGAAATCAATTTCAGTTTTCAGCTAGAAGAGCGAATTAAAAAAATTTGCAAATTTGCGAATTAAATTGCATAATCGCGGGGTGTTTTCGGTTTGGTTTTGCGGCTTGGGCTTGGAAAACTTAAACTAAACCGCAAGCTGACCGAGTTGGGGGTGTGGGTGGTGGTTCAGTTGGGTGGGTGGCTTTGGTGGTGGTGGTGGTGGTGGTGGTGCGTTCGAAGTGAGTTAAACCGCAAGAACCGCTGACCTGCTTACTTGAGTGCTGGACACAAAGTGGGGCCATACGGTTTTGTGTGTGCGTGCAACATGCAACACCACCCCCTGGTGGCACCACCCCCTTGTGGCAGCCCCGGTGACGTCAATGAACACGCAACCGCACGCTGACAACAATGCAACAGACAACACAACCCGACAAGAGCAACAGAAATTGCAACACACCAGCAACATCGCACAAAGACGGCGACAACAATGCCACAACTTCGGTGCGGAGCTATGACAAATGATTAAATGCCAGGGTGGAAAATAAGATTAAAGAATATATTGAAAAAAAAACTTAGAAAGGTGTACAAAAAATACCAAAAAAAATGGTATTTCCCTTACCTTTACAACTCAATCAAATAAACAAACTAAAAATGCTGCGAGTTAAAGTTATTGAAGAATATTCTTCTTTTATCATTGCAAAAATTATATCTGCCTGTGAATATAAATTAATTAAAAACAAGATTATCATTCATTTAAAATAACTCACACATATTCTAAGCAATAAGAAAGAATTGATATCCCTTACAAATCATTAAGTAATTAAAAGATTTTGGAAATAAATAAGGCTAATGTTTAAATTTAAAAACTTATGTTATCATGATAGAAAAACTGGTTTAAAAAACCTTTTAAGTACTTTAAACAAAACGATCTCAATAAAAGGCTCTACAAATATTTAAAATATTTTTCACGTCTATATAAATCCCGTTAATTTCTTATTTTGTATAGGATCTAATTGATTAACTTATTTTTCGAACAGCTTTGCCCGTTGAAGATGATTGGTTGTTGTTTTGCCCACCTTCTATTATCTCGACGGGGAGTGCCACCATCATCATCATCAATATTGTCATCATCATCGTCATCATCTCTCATTGTCAGAAGTGAGGACTTAATCAGACGTATTCAAAGCAAATTCCAAAACGCCCTTGATAAATGGGTGTACGAGTATTAAGGTGCATTAGGAAACCGGGCAACTCGCTGTATTTGCTGTTATTGTGGGCGCAACTTTGTCAATCGACGGGTTTTACTTACTTAACGTATGCATTAGCCGAACTTAATTAATTACTTTGTCCGCGCGTAATTACAAAGTCAATTTAAAGGGGTTTCCAGCCGCAGAACTCAATTCAACTTATGGTCGACGGTGGTGAGCCAAAACCGAAGACAAGTTAAGCGAAAACTTTCCATGGAGATTGGTTTGGCTGCGATTAAACTAAGTGTTTAATTCAATTTGGCACTGGCACAATGTACTTGATTTACAAGACAGTTGCAAGTGTTTCTCGCACACCTCAGTGGCCATTTGAATCCGATATGAATATATGTCCATATATTATATTGCGGAGGGCAAAGCGTGGCCACTCGAAAATACCTAAATCACAAATGCAAACAGTTGACTCACCTTTAAACTGTTTTCCAAGATAACATCTTAATGTGCTGGCAAAATTGATAAACCCCTTCCAAGTGATAACTGCAAAAAACGAACAAAAAAGCAAGGCAAGGCGGTGAGTGTGATTACAATAGCCAACAAGTGTGCAAATAGGTATCGATTCTATTTGATTAATTGTTACAGCCAATCGAAAATGTAAACAATATGTTAACAGCCCCGATTATCGGGCACACATTCCGATATAGGGGCGTTTTTGGGGGGCGGCAATTCAGGTGAGACCTCCGCACTTCGCTCGGTAATTAGGACCGACATTTCGGTAGTGCAGATAAAACCAAACAAAAGCAGCAGGAAAAATAAAATTTTAAATAAAAGCATAAAATGTAGAAGGAAGAGTAGGAAAACCCATTTGCCATTCGCCATTTCGGCGAGTGCGAGTGCGAGTGCGACGATGCCGGCGTAATTAAAAATTTCTTATCAATTTCAATTTCAATTGTTAATTGTTGCGGCTTATTCTACACACAGTGTGTTCAGGTATCTATATCTATTGTACATAAATGTATATGGTCGCACATACATTCATTTGCGGTGCTTTATGGGCCGAATGCCGAATGCGGAATATGAGGGACTAGATCGATAAACCCCAAAAAATCCCCTTAATACGGTATAAACTTGGCCAAGGTGTAGTTTTCGAATGCTTTTAAACTACATACACGTAGATAGATAAGTTAATTTAGAAGCGGGTTTGAAGGTTTCCAATCAATCGAAATGAAATGTAGTTTCAGTTCAGTAACAACTGTTTGAGTTGCTTAATAAACCATATTCTGAAGCTTAAAAGGGATCATCATAACCTGTTTCATTTGAAATACCTCCACAGTTACCCAGTTTGGAATTTGAGGACACAGATCAGGATTTGAAATGCCAACATCCATGTTTGTCTCACTATTTTTCCCAGCTATAATGCCCAAGCTCACACACCGGAGAAAAGTTAAATCAGACAGGGAAAAAAATGTTCATAAATTTGTTAAGTTCAGAAAAAGAATTTTTAGAGAGGAAAAACACAAGATAGTTATCCAACAAAAACAGTAGTAACATTGCTTATCTGATATGATCAATTATTTTTAACTATATCTATAGATTGTTTAAAAATCAATTGTTTTATTAAATTAAATTGTAGCTATTAGTTTTAATTTCTAACTAACTACTCAATGTCATTTGGCTTTACAGTTCCTTACTCAATTTTTTGTTCACCAAAAGTTCTTTGCAGTGCACATTAGAGTGAGGAATATTAGAAGCCTTGCCTTCGCCTGACCTCTGAACTCAGTCGCATCCCCGAGGCTAGCAAATTGAGCTGGATGTTTTCACTTGCCATTTCCGGGCTGCAACAACAAACCGCAAGTCCCCCCACACACACACACACAGACACACAAACACACGCACTTACTCACACATACACGCGCACTGGGGGGAAAATGAAAATTTAGGAAGGACATGGCATTGTTCCGATGAATCCTGTTGTGGCCAACGGAGAAACCAAGAGAGCTCCACTCGAATGGCATGCGAATTCGTATTCGTATTCGTATTCGTAATCGTTTGCCATAATTACTATTATCATCTGGTTGTTATTGGAGGACTCATCGCATAAAAGGGTGAAAAGGTTGGCCGAATTGTGGGATATTTAATTAATTCAAAGTCAGATGAATGGTAAATGCTCTCAATTTGCATGTGTTATTATGGCAATTCGGGATTACATGTACTTAGTTGATAGGATGTTTCCAACGGAAAGTGAAATTAAAAGAATACAAACTAGTAAGAAGCATTGCAAATGAAACAATAATTAATGTGTATATATAAATATTTGAATTAGTTAAATGAAATAGTTTATAGTTTAGTGTATTCAAACAAGAACTTCCTCAAATTCCCCTCAATTATTTTTTTGGCAACAATTCCATTTTATTGGCAATGACAATTGTGTTTTTTGAACTAAGTTTGCAATTTTCGTTTTTTTACTCAAATTAATGCCAAGGCACTTGCCGTCGTATGTTGTGCATGCTAAAGATCTGGAGATCGTATCGAATCGGTAGCGGACATTATACAACTTCGATTCCCGAGCGGCACGCGACTTTGCGGCTGCGCATTTGAATAAAAATAAAAGAAGGCAACAAAAGTCGAGCAAATTACTTGGCCAAAATCATGCCAGTCATGTAGCGACGTCAGTGTGGATTTGTTTTAATTGTGCCGTATATTCCAGCCGTTGACAAATTGAGCCGGAATGATAAAGCAAGCGTAAAGGTGTTAGCTTCTTTTTTTGTCCGCCTCAGCCGAATTCCAATTTCATTGTTAATGATCACAATAAATTCAACCGCGTGTCCGCATGTGTGATCCAGACTTCTGGGTTTTATTTTTTTATGATTATTTTCCATTTTGTTGTATTTGGTTTTTATTTTGGTTTTTTTTTTTTGGCGACAAAATCATTTTGTAGCGCTAATTGGTTGGTTAGAGATTCGATATATTGGGTAAGCGATAGAGCACGGATCTCTCAGCCGAATCCATTATCTTTTTGGTGCTGTTTGTGTGGGGCAAACAATAGAGAAATAAAAAGAAATAAAGAAATAAGATCCCCAGCATTTGGCCCAAATTAAGTTCTGTTCAAACACCGTTCAAGAACCAGTTATTCAAGAGCTGTTGACAACTTGTTGCCAACGGGTAAACAGCGCCAACATTTCCCAAGAATGCGAGATCACCTGTTGCCACCTCCCACACACATTATCCGTATCTTTATCTATATCTCCATATCGGGGATATTTCTCATCGCCAGGTCGGCCGCTTTGAAGCGACGGGTTGGTAAACACCAGGAAACATCAAACAAGCCCATCTATCTCAATTTCGACAATCCGTGACATTCTGCAAATATTTACTCCTTCCTATGGTCAGTTCCAGATCCCCAAGTTTTGTTTGTTTTTATACTTTTATTTAAAGATAATAAACTGTGAAATCGAATATCGATTCGGAGTGTATGGTTTTAAAATTAATATCAACAAACTTAATTGATAAGGTTTTTTTACTACCAAACGAGAATAGCTGATATCTATAAATACGGAAATTTTTTGTTTATGTGTATCTATTTAATTAATCCATTTAAATGCTAGGCGATTTAACGACTATAAAACTATATTATCTGTTAATTGATGTCATGCCTATAAAAATCATTGGAGCAGCTGCTTATTTTATAATGGTCTATAAGCTTTTAGATTTAGAAATGGTAAAATTATCTGGATAACTCTCCAATACACCTTGTTAAAATTAATTGCGGAGCTATTCCATGATTTAATATTTTAGCATTGATTATTAATTTACTTTACGGTCTACGAGTAATTATTACTGATCGAATTGACACCTTCGAACATATGGAAAAACTTCTCTGTCACGTGGATTTACTAGATCTTGAAAGCGCTTTCAACGGATCGTACGACGCAGATATACTATTTTCTGTGGACTGAACCCATATATCTAGTTCAAATTCGATTCGCAAACAGGTCGGGGACAAAACATTTGTTTGATAAAACGTTATCGGCCATCGGGGGTCTCTGACACCCGAATAATATTACCACAATGGAGAAGTCTGGGGAATGGAAAGGGAAAACGACGGTGAAGTTCGTCTAAATTTAGAAACGACTTTTTGACAGTCCATCGTAGCGTAACGTTGATAATGCTATGTTTTTGTATTGTTGTTGGTTTTATTCTGTTTTTTTTTTTTTTTTTTTTTTTTTTTGTTTTTTTTTGCCAGCCAGTTTTCGCTGGTTTAAGCCAACTTTTTTGGGGGACCGTGGGGTTCTTTGCTCTTCGATTGAAAGACCAGCACGTGCATATTGCACTTGGGCTGGCTCTTTTCTCTTTCCCCGATTCTCTCTCTGCGGATCTTTCTCTTGGGAACTCTCTTTTGTGGGCAAGACCAACAGACTTGTTTGTTATTCCCGCTGGCGCACAAAGTCCACCGTGTCATGCCAAAGTTCATCGGCGATCTTAACTTGTTCTATACTACATTAACAATAATGTGTGTCAATTAAGTCGAAGATTTTCTTTTGAATATTAAGAAAAAAATAAATTCTTTTCGGAAAAATTTAAATTTACAAAACAAAATTATAGGTTGCGAACTTTGATTATCGACACATGTCAAAACGAAACAATTTTATCCATATGAAATATTTGATAATTAAAAGACCTAAAATACTTATTATAAATAGGAAACGATCAAAATGTGTATAAAGGTTTAGACAACCTCAACAATAACACAGTAAATATTTTTCACAACTAAATTTCATTAACTTTTTAACTAATATTATTTGTTTTTTCTTATTTGAGACCTACGATCTTCGTAATCTTTATCTTCCAGGGGTGATTGTTTCCATATTTTAAGAAGGAATTCTCTTCCCTTGACATATCTTATGCACTCTCTCTCTTTTGAACATTTTTAGAGTTCTCCGCCTGGCGGGCTTATCAATTTTATTACGTTTTTAATAATTTTTTTTCACCCGTATTTTTTGTTTTCATTACGTAGTACTGATATGGGACGACCGGGCACAATCAAGAGTCACAGCCAGTCCCCCACAGCCGTCGCCAACGAACCACCCACCGCCCCCTTTGGACGACCTGAAAAGGCGGTAAGTGAACTCTTGTCGGCATTATAGCGAAATTAGTGCCTCCACTCGACCCTCTGCATTAATTGGACACAATCAAAGGCGATATGCTGGAAATGCTAAAAATGCTACAAATGCTGGAAATGCTAAAAATGCTGGCTATGTTAGAAACGTGTAAATATGAATTCGCTTTATGTAAGTCGCGTTTCCAGCGGAGACTGCACCGATCCAGAGTCACGAAAATAGCAACAGACCAAGCCGAACCGGTTGAGAAAAAGGAAAAAACAACCGAAAACTATGCGGCAACAGGTCCGCAATGTGGATCGAAAAGCATAAAGTGCACCTGGAGGAAAACTACGTCATAACTACACTTTTTTATCATTAAATTTAGTTTAAATATATTAAATTACATTCCATACAAAGTGGTAAACAAAATATAAAAGATTA